GTTTCCCAAATTTTTATCTTTTTTTCTTTCAAGCCTAACAATTGTTGGCACCTTACAAAAAGGATGCGTCTACCTAATAATCTATTCAATGAAATCATAAATTGCTGTTATATCAATTAAACATTCTGAGTTCTATAAATGATAAACATATAGTATGCTGACCTTAATCATGATAAAAAGGTTGATGCCTGACGCTGACAATGCTGATAATAAAGACAATGAAGATATGCCAAAAATGCTATAAATGCTATGCACAAACTAAAGAAAACTGGTTGTTCATCAAATTTTCTTTTTTCCGTAAAACAGATCTTTGATCAAGCAAAAATATGAGATAAGGACATGTCAAGACATCTGTTTTCTCATCTTTTTAATAAAGACGATAATCAGTCTGAAATCTAAAAGCTGACCAGATAAGGTACAGAAAAAATAACTTTTCAATTCATTTTTTGAATCTTATCACAAAATATTAGCATGATGCTCAGGATATCTTCCTCTTCAAACAGAGTACATGTATTTAATGAATACTGATAAAGAAATAAACATAAGGAGTACTTGAACAGACACTTGTGACAAGTCTAGCTATCTTATCAAAATTAGATAGCTTAACATAATTGTATCTGTGTCTTCAAGAAACTCAAGATAACCAGTAGTAGTTTTTAAAGATTCGGCACCAGTAACTAAATCAAAACAGGTATATTAAGGTGTATGTTTGAGCATGTCCGTGTGAGTGTGTACGTGTTTGTGCATGCATGCGTGCGTGTGTGTATGGTGTGTGTATGGTGTGTGTATGGTGTGTGTATGGTGTGTGTATGGTGTGTGTATGGTGTGTTTATGTGTGTTTATGTGTGTATGGTGTGTGTATGGTGTGTGTATGGTGTGTATGGTGTGTATGGCGAGTGTATTGTGTGTGTATGTGTGTGTGTGTGTGGGGGGGGATGCACATATGTGTGTGTGTGTGGCGCGTGCGCATGTGTGTGTGTGGTGTATGTGTGGTGTGTGTATGGCGTGTGTATGGTGTGTATGGCGTGTGTATGGCGTGTGTATGGCATGTGTATGGCATGTGTGTATGGCGTGTGTATGGCGTGTGTATGGCGTGTGTATGGCGTGTGTATGGCGTGTGTATGGCGTGTGTATGGCGTGTGTATGGCGTGTGTATGGCGTGTGTATGGCGTGTGTTGTGTGTGTGTGTGTGTGTGTGTGTGTGTGTGTGTGTGTGTGTGTGTGTGTGTGTGTGTGTGTGTGTGTGTGTGTGTGTGTGTGTGTGTGTGTGTGTGTGTGTGTGTGTGTGTGTGTGTGTGTGTGTGTGTGTGTGTGTGTGTGTGTGTGTGTGTGTGTGTGTGTGTGTATGTGTGCGTGTGTGTGTGCGTGCGCATGTGTGTGTGTGGTGCATGTGTGGCGTGTGTATGGCGTGTCTGTGGCCGTGTGTGTTTATGGGATGGCGTGTGTGTGTGTGTGTGTGTGTGTGTGTGTGTGTGTGTGTGTGTGTGTGTGTGTGTGTGTGTGTGTGTGTGTGTGTGTGTGTGTGTGTGTGTGCGTGCGTGCGTGCGTGCGTGCGTGCGTGCGTGCGTGCGTGCGTGCGTGCGTGCGTGCGTGCGTGCGTGCGTGCGTGCGTGCGTGCGTGCGTGCGTGCGTGCGTGTGTGTGTGTGTATCATCATCATCATCAGCTTTATAACTAGACTACTACTATTACTTAGATATTTTCCTTAATTATTATCATCATTACTGATGTTACCATTACTATTCATTTTCAATCTTGTTATAATTATCACCATAACCATCACCATCACTATTACCATTTCCAACACCATCACCACCACCATTTTCATTATCACCATGACCATCAATATCACTTTTAGCATGATCATCATCATAAACTCCACGGATCAAAAGAACATGTATATATACCAAAAGGTAGTCTTAAATCTCATAAATTTCATTACCCTTATACCTCATTACCCACTGGAATCGTGTGCAGCAAATCATCCTATATGATTTGGGCTCAGCCTAAGCATTCTAATTTCTTAATTTCCTTTCTCGATCATTGATCAGGTAAAAGTCCCCACACTTGTGCAAGAATGACAATAATGACAACAACAGCAATAACAATAACACTAACGATAACAATATCAAAAGTAATAACAATAACAAAAGTAGTAATACAGATTACAATAACAACTAAAACGACTGCCAATGACAATAACAACAATGATAATGATATTAGTAATGATGAAAGTAATAACTGACGATAACTATAATGATAACAGTAAGGATAACAACAATAATGATGATAACAATCATGATGACTATTTAAGAAAACAATGATAATGATAACAAAGATAATGATAATGATAATAATAATGATAAAGATAGTGATAATGATAATAACAAATACAATAACATCATGAGAGTAATAATGTTGATACTATTACTTATAATTACAATAATAACAATATTGAGGAGGAGGAGGAGGAGGAGGAGGAGGAGGAGGAGGAGGAGGAGGAGGAGGAGGAGGAGGAGGAGGAGGAGGAGGAGATGGAAGAGGAGGAAGAGGAGATGGAAGAGGAGGAAGAGGAGATGGAGGAGGAGGAAGAGGAGATGAGAGGAGGAAGAGGAGATGGAGGAGGAGCAGAAGAGGGAGATGGAGGAGAAGAAGAGATGGAGGAGGAGGAGGTGATGGAGGAGGTGGTGGTGGAGGAGGAGGAGGTGAAGGGAGGAAGAGGTGATGAGGAGGAGGAGTGAGGAGGAGGAGGTGATGGAGGAGGAGGAGGAGGAGGAGGTGATAAAGGAGGAGGAGGAGGAGGGAGGGAGGAGGAGGAGGAGGAGGAGGAGGAGGAGGATGGAGGAGAGGAGGAGGAGGGAGAGGTGATGGAGGAGGAGGGAGGAGGAGGTGAGGAGGATGGAGTGAGGAGGAGGAGGAGGAGGTGATGGGAGGAGGAGGAGGAGGTGATGGAGGGGAGGAGGAGGAGGAGGTGATGGAGGAGGAGGAGGAGGAGTGATTGGAGAGGAGGTGATTTGATGGAGGAGGAGGAGGAGGAGGATGGAGGGAGGAGGGAGGAGGTGAGGAGGAGGAGGAGGAGGATGGTGATGAGGAGGAGGAGGAGGAGGGATGGAGGAGGAGGAGGAGGATGGTGATGGAGGAGGAGGAGGAGGAGGAGGTGATGGAGTGAGGAGGAGGATGAGGAGGTGATGGAGAGGAGGAGAGGAGGAGGAGGAGTGATGGAGGAGGAGGAGGAGGAGTGATGGAGGAGGAGGAGGAGGAAGGAGGTGATGGAGGAGGAGGAGGAGGAGGTGAGGATGAGGAGGAGGAGGAGGAGGGAGGTGAGGGAGGAGTGAGGAGGGAGAGGTGGGAGGAGGAGGAGGGAGCGAGGAGGTGAGAGAGGAGGAGGAGGAGGAGGTGATGAAGGAGGAGGATGGAAGGAGGAGGAGGAGGAGGTGATGGAGGAGGAGGAGGAGGAGGGATGGAGGAGGAGGAGGAGGAGGAGGAGGTGATGGAGGAGGAGGAGGAGGAGGAGGAGGAGGAGGAGGAGGAGGAGGAGGGGAGGAGGAGGAGGAGGAGGAGGAGAGGAGAGGAGGAGGAGGAGAGGAATGGTGATTGGAGGAGGAGGAGGAGGAGAGGAGGAGGTGAATGGAGGAGGAGGAGGAAGAGAGGTGGTGAGGAAGGAGGAGGAGGAGGAGGTGATGGGAGGAGGAGGAGGAGGGAGGAGGAGGAGGAGGAGGAGGAGGAGGAGGTGGTGATGGAGGAAGGAGGAGGAAGGATGGAGGAGGAGGAGGAGGAGGTGTGATGGAGCGAGGAGGAGGAGGAGGTGATGGAGGAGGAGGAGGAGAGGAGGGATGGAGGCAGGAGGAGAGGAGGAGGAGGAGGAGGGGTGATGGAGGAGGAGGAGGGAGGAGGAGTGAAGGAGGAGGAAGGTGATGGAGGAGGAGGAGGAAGGAGGAGAGGTGATGGAGGAGGAGGAGGAGGAGGAGGTGATGGAGGAGGAGGAGGAGAGGAGGAGGAGGTGATGGAAGGAGGAGGAGGAGGAGGAGGTGATGGAGGAGGAGGAGGAGGAGGGGATGAGGAGGAGGAGGAGGAGGAGGAGGAGGAGGAGATGGAGAGGAGGAGGAGGAGTGATGGAGGAGGAGGAGGAGGAGGATGGAGGAGGAGGAGGAGGTGATGGAGGAGGAGGAGGAGGAGGAAGTGATGGAGGGGAGGAGGAGAGGAGGATGGAGGAGGAGGAGGAGGAGAGGTGATGGAGGAGGAGGAGGAGGAGGATGATGGAGGAGGAGGAGGAGGAGGAATGGGAGGGAGGAGGAGAGGAGGAGGTGATGGAGGAGGAGGAGGGAGGAGGTGATGGAGGAGGAGGAGGAGGAGGAGGTGATGGAGGAGGAGGAGGAGGAGGAGGTAGATGGAGGAGGAGGAGGAGGTGATGGAGAGGAGGAGGAGGAGGAGGAGGAGGAGGTGATGAGGAGGAGGAGGAGGAGGAGGAGGAGGATGGAGGAGGAGGAGGAGGAGGAGAGGAGGTGATGGAGGGAGGAGGAGGAGGAGGAGGAGGAGGAGGAGGATGGAGGAGGAGGAGGAGGAGGAGGTGATGGAGGAGGAGGAGGAGGAGGAGGAGGTGATGGAGGAGAGGAGGAGGAGGAGGAGGGGAGGAGGAGGAGAGGAGAGAGGATGAAGGGAGAGGAGGAGGAGATGAGGAGGAGAGGGAGAGGTGATGGGGGAGGAGGAGGAGGAAGGAGGAAGAGGAGGAGAAGAAAGAAAAGAAGGAAGAAGGAGAAAGTGAAGGAAAGGAGAAGGAGAGAAGGAGAAGGAGAGGAGGAGGAGGAGGAGGAGGAAGGAGGAGGAGGAGGAGGAGAGAGGAGAGGAAGGAGGAGGAGAGGAGGAGGAGGTGATGGAGGAGAGGAGGGAGGTGATGGAGGAGGAGGAGGAGAGGAGGAGGAGGTGAGGGGAGGAGGAGGAGGAGGAGGAGGAGGAGGAGGGAGGAGGAGGAGGAGGAGGAGGAGGAGGAGGAGGAGGAGGAGG